TTTATTTTATCGATTAATCAAATGTAAATTATCCTAAACGAATAGTTGTCTACCGTTGTCTTAGGAATATTTTAAACGTTTATTTTCTCATCGAGATAATAAAAACCAATATGACATTAAACGAAAACACGTATACATTTTAATCAAAAAAAAAACAGCAGAGTTTTCCTATTGTTAAATCTTGTTGATTTATAAATCGAATCGTTGATTTGTACGACGATTTTTTTTTTTTTTTTTTTGATAAAATATTTTTTTGTTTTACTTTTTTGAATATCTTCATTTATTGACTTTTCAAGGACGTCCGTCCTAATCGGATAAAACAAGATTCCCTATAAATAGGCTGGTGCTTCTACACGATATGCGCATATCGTGTATAAGTATCCAACTTTTAAGTTGAAGAAGAGTTTTAATTAGTTTTCTAACAAATCATTTTTCGATTGTTGTTCAAGAATTTTCAGCTTTTATTTTAATACTGTTCTCTCGTTTTAGATTTTGACATGAACTCAAACAATTTGAAACGAATTAAATTTATATATAAAAATAAAGAAGTACAAATGGAAGTCGATGTAAATGTTCCATTTGAACAACTAATCAATAATATAAAGATTTCTTTCGACATTGCATCTAATATTGATATTCAATTTACTGATATCAGAAGAAACATAATTTTAGTACCTCTTCTAACTGGTCATCTTTGGTCTCATTGTATTAAAACACGAGTGCCGATTTATCAAATTACAACAAGAAAAGGTAGGAAAAAAATGTATGTCTAAGTTAACGTTTTGTATCTTTGACTTTTTCTACATGGAATAAAAAAAAAGTATTATTTCGGTCGAGATCTCAGTCTTGGAAAAGTATAGAGTTACTCGATAGTAAAAATAATAAATATTGTCTTTTGTTTCAAAATACTAAGAAAGATAATGTTTTTAGGTAATGAATACAATGAACATAACAATGGCTGGTGTAAATATCTGCTAAACAATTATATATTTCCGTTTCTCGGTGAGTAATCAAGAGAGGATAACAATACTAACGACGAAAGCGTTCGAAATGATTCATTGCTTGTAACTCTATATAATGTTCATAAGTAGGGTATCTGTAAAGTAGAAAAATTCTGAGCGTTTAAGAGCCCATGTTAATATTTGACCGAGATGTTGAAATTTTACCGTAATTTTCTTGTACGACTTTGACTTCGTCATAAAACTGCATTTTCAAATATTGACCTAACAGTTTGCCAATATGAAGATCTCAACGAGTCTAGCTTGCATGTAGCTTTGCCGTGATATGAAGTTACCTGAGAATACTTATGTTTATTCTGTACTACCTATGAAAAACCATTTATATATTGAAACATTTATATCTCGATGAGGTTGCATCGAAAAATTCAAAACTTTTTCATACAAGATAATCTAGTTTAGACTTTCATATGAGTACAGTTTCAAGTCAGAAACCAGCGCTATGTTTTCGTTAGAAAATCAGAGTCCTGCCGTAAAACTTTATTATCTTGACCAAACTGTATCATGAATCATTATTCGCTCAGGATTTTTCTAGTCTACAGGTGTCCTACTTATGGGTAAAATATGGAGTCAAAAGTGGTGAATAACTTCGAACGGTTCCCTCGTTAGTATAATACTATAGATGATTTTCAAGGTGAAATTGAACCAGTTGATATAATACAATTCCTCTAGTTAAATTCTACTATGCAATATATTTCAAATTACATTTCAGATGTCGAATTTAATGCTATATTTTTTTTCGTTCACCGCATTTTAGGTGGAGCAACTATTACTGATGACAAAAAAGACAGCTAATTGATTAACTCGATCCTGTTATATTTGAAATTTAACTTGTTACCTAACGATATTCATAGAATATAAGAATATATTAACTTGTCTTCATACTGAAGTTTTCCAGTATTGTCTTTTTCTTTTTTTTTCTGTGCTTCGATTTTTCTTTTTTTTTTCTGTGCTTCGATTTTTCTATCATAAATTTGCTTGTTGTATATTGCCAAACAGCAACATACTTTGTTTACTGTAAATAAATTTCGTGCTGACGTGATTAACTGGACATTTTACGGTAAAAAACTTTTTCCATAATTACTGACTGAAAGAAACAAATTATTCTTTGGTTCAAATTGAAGAAATCGATTTTGCTGTTAGTAACACTTGCAGAAAAAACAGGTATTTTATCATATGTTACACTTATTGCAATCAATTGATTATTCATAGAGATAAAACGCAGGTAAAAAAAAAACCCAAAAATGAGGATTTCATTCGATAAAAGAGAATTCGTTGAACACTCAAGATCGTGGTGGTACCCGATCTAATTGAAGAAATATTGTTCTGAATCAGAACAATATTTGTCGATTAAGCACTGACCGATAAAAAGTTGTAACAGAATTTTGGCTAAACTGTAAAACAAAAGCACAAAAGTTTTACTGTGTTGAAAACAAAATGACTCCTTTGGTTTAAAATACTAATAATATGAAAGAAAAAATCTTGCATTTTGGAGTATGCCGAGTTTATGAGAAAAAAGTCTTTACAAAACAAATTTTGAATTATTTGAAATATTTTCAATAAGCTTTACTATCACAGTGATGCTGAAAAGAAAATTAAAAACACTAAAAGAATGAATTTTATTTTTGTTACCAAACAGCTGAATATTTTCATACTGTCTGTGATTCGTAGTCTTTTCATTAACTTTTTCATCTATAGTTCTAGTATGTGATTTTTGTATCAATGTCTTGGCAGGAGTGGTTGCATCATTCATTTTTATTGAAGACCACGAAAGATTGAAAGAAAGATTCTGGTATTGTCTCATTATAATAATCACTTTGAAACTTCTTTCAAATACTGGTGTTCGTCAATTCATGAAAAACCAAGTTGTTCAATGCGTTAATCATCCAAGACCAGATCCTGCAATTCTAGCTGGTGCTAGACGTTATTAAATAGTAATATGAATTTTTTTTTAATCTTTCTGTGCATCATATATGTGTGATCTTTTCACTTCTCTCTTATTGTTATATATCCCATCCTTTGTCATATACATATGGTACTTTGTCTTTCTGTTCTCTAGCTAACTATTTTTCTACATTCATATTGATTAGACATTTTCCAATGTTGTTAACATTTTCTAGGGTTTTTTTAATATTTTCCATTTGTTCAACATAGAAAGTTGTTCATCATCGTATATATAGCTATGATTATTCTGTAATAAACAAGATATTGAGTGATAGTGTGAAATGATTTTGTTCAATGACATACTGGCCTTATGAAAATATCAAACCTAACAACATATTGTTTTTTTACCATTTTCCGGCTCTTTTATTCTTTTTTTTTTTCTACAAAGTTTTCTCTTCAAAGAAATATTTTATTCTGCACAGCTAATCTAGATTTATTAAGCTGAAAATCATTAATATCACCGCTAAATTCAAAGACAAAATGAACTTGTTCATTTTCAATCATATAAACAACTTATCTTTTCATAAACTGATCAAAACAAACTATTTCTGTATTGTCAACAGCAGCAGGTACATACAAACGTGCACATATTATAGCAACACTTATTAAATAATAGTCACAAAGAAAAGCAATGCTCAATTCAAAAAAATTTAATTCTCTGTCAAATTCTAACTTACGAGGGAAGTGCTCGAACTGTTTAAAAGCTTTTGAGTTCGGACTTTGTGCATAAGATAGAGCCCAATGAGGTATGAAAAACCCCAAAAGGACAAGTGCTTATAGGCCTTCCCTGCACAGCTAGAGAGATTTTACTGAAATTTCAGCCTATAGTAGTGTATGGACTAAAGAATCGAATGAGCCATATTTCGAGCTGATATTTTGTCCACAAATAAGCTTACTAGTAAATAGAATGTCCTGAAAATTTCAGACCAAAAGAATGCTTCCTTCATGAGATGTCAAAGTCCCAAAAATCCTTGATATTTCACGAAAGATTCGAGAACCTCATTTTTTTGGGGGGGAGGGGGAGGGAATTCGATGTCTCGTGAAGAGAACATTCTTTTAGTCTGAAATTTTCAGGACATTCTATTTACTAGTAAGCTTATTTGTGGACAAAATATCAGCTCGAAATATGGCTCATTCGATTCTTTAGTCCATACAGTACTATAGGCTGAAACTTCAGTAAAATCTCTCTACTCTGATATGAATAACATCTTAGTCCTATACTGATTAAAAAAAATAACAAATACAAGAACAGATTGAAAGATACCAGCCTCCAAAACACACTGAGACAAACAAAAAATTTGCATGACCTAATTTTTCATATTTATCTCATTTAGCATTATTGATCCATCAAGCTATTATGTATCCGCAGTTAGTTATATCACATTGATTTCATTTTTGCTTTTACTATTAACTGGACATCCACCTTGTCTACAATACTAATCTTTATATTTTATATCAAAATGAACACAATGATTTATGAAAAATCCAACAAGTTACGGAATAAGATAAATGATGAAAGTTGTTCTGACTAAACATTTAAATATTGTATAAATCATAATGTAGGATTCTAGAAATCTATTTTATTAGCTAAAAAGCTTAGTGTTGTTTGAATAGATCTATAATCATGTACAGTATTTAACTATCTTTAGTTTCTTTTCTTTTTACTAATAAAAATGATTTGCATGTTTTTTAAATTGATATTTAATTAATCTGAAATAATATCGTCAGTCGGTCTAATTTCGATACGATATATAAACATATAGATCATTTAAAAAATCCAAGAGAATATGTTGAAGAGTTTTTAACGAAGAAAAAAAAAAGATTTAATTATAAAATAGATAATTCGTATGTTAACAATTCAATATCGAATGAATGAATTGGTCATCAAATAAATTTTATGAAGGAAAATTAATTGCTGATAAATCAGTTAAAAATCATTTATTAAAAGATTTAAAAAATATTTCCAAGAAAGAAAATGATGATGAAAATTTATCTGAATGTTCATTGTTTTTAATTGATACAAATGGTTATGATATGAAAGAAATTTATTTTGATGATGAAAATTCACGTGGAAATGAAGGTGAAGTTGAACTTATTAATATTCATATAAATGAATTAATTGAAAATTATTCTGTATCAATTGATCAAATTGGTATAATAACACTATATAATTTACAAGTACAATTATTAAGAGAAAAACTTTTAAATAAATATCCAAATTTAGAAATTAAATCTGTTGATAGATTCCAAGGAAGAGAATAAGAAACTATTATTATTTCAATGGTTAGATCAAATTTATATGGTTATTTACTTTTATTTTAATTTTTACAAAAAACGAGATCTTTTTCATTTTTAGGTAAAGTTGGATTTTTATCAGATAGTCGTCGAATAAATGTTGCTATAAGACGTGCACGTAGACATTTATGCATTTTTTCTAATGCACAAACAGTTACTCATGATCCATTTATTAAAAGATTAATTGATTATATGATTCAACATGGACAAGTTCATTCAGCATTTGAATTTATTGATGGTTTTTATTATTTTTTTATCTTTATTTTAAAGTTTCATTTTATTTTTTTCTTTTTAGAAAATAATTTTTTTCAAGGATCAACTTTACCAAAAAAAATCAACAAAATCTTTTAAATCAAAACAAATAAAACAAAAATCAAAAAAAGTCAAGTAAAAAAAGAAATGAATGAAAAATAAATAATTTATTTAAAATAATATTTTTATTTTAGAGAACAAAAAACTGAATGTTCTCAAGCAACAAATACACTTGAAAATGTTTTAACTAATATTCTTTATCAACATATTGAAAGTTTTTTCAATAATCAAGATTTACAAGAATTACAATTTGAAGATGATTTATCACCATTTTATAGACGTTATGTACATCAAGTATTTTTGTGAATAATTAACGTTTTCAAGAATCTTTCTATTCAAATATTCTTACTTAGTTTGCTGAAAAACATAATTTACAACATATTAATGAAGATCTTGGTCATCAAAGACATATTATTATTAGAAAAAATATTCCAATTGAAATGAAAATGATTACAAATGAAGAAGAAGAAGAAGAAGAAAATATCAATGAAAAATTTCGTTCATTTTCTCTATTAGAAGAAAAAAAAAGGATTCGATAGAAAAGATTGAAAAATATAAAATATGATCAATAATCATTTCTGATCAAGATTCAATCGTAACAGATAATAATGAGGAAAAGGTAAAATAAAAACTCTTTTTTTAATTTTGTATTTTTATTTAAATGAATATTTTATTAGATTGAATTATCTCCAATAGTTGATAAAACAAATCTTTGTCGATATTGTCATAAAGATATTCCATCAGAAAATCTTCAATTATATGAATTATATTGTCAACGTGTTAATCCATTATCTTCATTATCAATTTCAACTAATCAAACTTCTGTAAATCAAACTTTTCTTTCAAATCAGTTATTATTAAGATTATTTTTAATTTTAGGAAAAAAATTCTCCTAAACTAAATATTGCTTCAAAATATCCAAAAACTGTTAAGAAAAAAGCAAATAAATCATCATCAATGGATTCAAATGCACCAATTGATGATTTATTAGAAGCAGATCATCAACAAGATAATATTTGTAATGCTCAAAAATGTAAAATAAAAATAATTTTATTAGGATAATTTTGTTCATATTGTAATCGTCGATATTGTTTTGAACATTCAATGCCTGAAGTTCATATATATTCTGAAAGCCTGTGGAGTTTTCTATCATCCTGTATATTTACTTATTTTTTTTGCATTCATTTATTGAAAAAATAATCTGAACGCAATGAAGACACCCTCATGTCCAGATTCCCACAGACTTGATTTTTTTCTTTGTCATCAAAACTAGTTTTGACAGTTTTTCAAGAATATATTCAAACTTTAAAGAATGAATAATATTAAAATTAAACATTTCATGAAGATAAAAATGTCCATTTGAAAATCCTGCTACTAACATATGTATTTTTTGATGATCAGCACAAAGAAGTAAAGCATCATGATTAGCATCTTCAAATGTTTCTTTATCATTAAATCCATAGAATAGAATAAAAACGATTTTTTTTTAAAACACAAATTGATTTATTTTTGTATTTTACTTATTCGTTCGTTTGAAAATAACCATATTATCTTTAGTTCGATTTTTCATAAGATATTCATCTAAACGTTTTGGTTTTTGCTAAAAGCTTAATTCATTCTCGTTCAACAACATCATCTAATTCTTCATTATCATTATCATTTCTATCAATATGACCATTTGATGATGTCAGAATTTCTTAATTAACATTTTCATCAGGTATATATGATATTGATTCTATAGATGCTAAATCCATATCAGCAGTCCAATAATTGACTTTTGCATTTTTACAAATAGTCATTATCGATATTAGAAGAAAAACAATATCATTTGAAAAATAAAGGCAATTATGGATGTACATTCAATGAATCTTGTTCAAAAAAAGTGTCGACGATTTCACAAACATGACTAACTAATATAAATCGATATAGTTTATCTAGTAAAGAGACACTAAATATTTTAGTTGCCATATCTGCACTAATAACGGTCAGAACACTATGAAACAAAAATGATTTACTTTGGTTTTATTTTTATGAAAGAAAAATATAACATACAGAAAATCACTTGTCCATTTGACAAATGTTATTTTATCATGAAATGAATGAAGAATAAATTTTAATGTAAACAAATTGAATTGACGATCAGTACTAGGACAAGTATAGAATTCATAGCGATTACTACGACAAACAGCTATAGATCTATAATATAAAAGTTTTTCTTATGTCAAAAATTTATTAGTAAAAATTAAAGCTTGTTTAAATCTTAAATAAAACTTTCATTGACAATTCATCTACACTGTTAAAATAAATTCGAAACAGACAAATAATATTACTTCTATATTAAAAGAATTTTTAAAGTATTATACAATAGATTTATAATATCTAAATCGTCAATATTATATTTACTTGAAATCAGGACTGAATTCGATTGTACGGATATCATGTCCAAAACGATGAATACCAATCAATCTACGACATTTGACATTGTATAAATATTCTCGACCAGCTGTGTAAAAATACATGAAATATTTTGAAATTAAAATAATCTAACTCTTACTCTCGTTAGCAATAAGTAAGAGTGCATCATTAGATGAGAGAGTTGAACAAATAGTATTAAATTCACTTTCAAATGATAATGTTTCTGATCGATCACTAAAATAAAATATTGATTTTGATCAACAATTAATCATATACAATATATTTTTAAATCGATCATATTCACTCGATTACTAACTGATATGATGAATGCATTACTATCTGGTATAAAGAGAAGATTACTCTTATGATAGACAATAACAAGAAGAATTAAGAATTAATATATACAGTGAAGCTCAATAGAATTTACCCCCTTTGTATTTTTTACTTTTAACCATTAGAGTTTGATCTTTTTTTAATAATGACTATATCGCAAGAAAGTACAGATTCTGCTGCATCACATGATATATATATCGTAATTAAAAAAGAGAAATTAAATAGTAAAAAAAGCGTTACAAAAAAGACATCATTTTTTTTTACTGCAATCTTTAGTTATACAATATATTTTCTAAAATGAGTTTTATTTTTCATATTGTCTTGTTTTTCCTTCCATATATTGACACACGTGAGTTCCATTATTGTTCGAATCAGAAGAAATTCAATTTTATAAACTCGCAAAATCAACGAACGGAACACTGCAATGACTCGATTAACGAGAATTTTTAAAAGATTCATTGGAAGATTGGCGTATATTTTGTTACGGCCTGGATCAAGGTTCAAAACAACATCCAATCCGTTCTCTAGTTCCAACGTATCGTTTTTTCTATCATCTATTTCTTTATTTAAATCTATATTGAACCAGTCTCGTGTATAAATATGGGACCGTTATGTCGTCTAACCAGTAAACAAACTTTTATTTTCTCTGTTTAACACATCTGCTTTAATTTCCACTGTTTGTTTGTAAAATGGCCAATGAATATGAAAAATATACCAGTACTTTCAAACAAAAAGTTCTTGAAGAATATCGTCCTGGAATTTACGGGTCTGGTTTTAAATCATTAGCCAAACGTTTTAAAATTAAAGGTGGTCATCATCTGATAATGTGTTGGTATCGACAATGGGATGGTACTGTTCAATCCTTGAATGCAAAGCCAAGAACTGGTCGACCACGTACGCTAACAAATGAAGAAGTAGAACGTTATGTATTGAATTTTGTCGAAACGATGAATAATCAGCATAAACCGGTTGATTACAAAATGGTACAAAACCATGTTGAAGTTTCACTGAATCGAAAAGTAGCCATAGCAACGATCAAAAGATACGGCAGAACAGAATGCGGAATAACAAGCAGAACAACTCATGAAATAACAACTCGTGATAGTAAGTATACAGGTTTCTATACAGCACATATCATTGTTTTATCTCACCGTTTACGAATCCATCTAATCATTCTCCTATATTTATAGTTGATGAAAATCATTGGATTGAAATTGGAGAATTTCGAAAATTTTTACAGCGGATTAGCAATGATCGATTAATATTTATCGATGAAATAGCCATCTATGGTATAATGCCACCTCTTCGAACACTTGTTGCTCCTGGGCATCAATCATTTGTTATTGTTGATAAACCATCAGCTTATGCTGAACGTTTTGATTTTATTGGTGCAATTAATGGATCAAAACCAATAGCTTGTATGACTTTAACACCTGTGGATCGTAAAGCTAAAGATATTCAAGGTGTAAGAAAAGAAGTAATACATGAATGGATTATTAAATCTTTGGCACCAGCCATTAATCGATTGAATATTGATCGTGTGCATTTGATATGTGATAGAAGTCGAGCACATAATCGGGCAGAGATGATGCAAGCATTTATTATGGGTAAATGTAAATCAGTTATAAATGTCCATTATATGCCAACGGCATCCGCAAAATACATATCTCCATTGGATAATCCAATTTGGCATTCATTTAGAGAAACTGTCCGAAAACAGCATCCATTGACAATATCCAATCTTCCATCGATACTTTCTCGAACTTTTTATTCATTGTCAAGAGACCAGATTATGAATGCCTATAGAAAGTGTGCTATTACCTATGGAACTGATGTATTTTATGACCAACCTTTCACGTAAATGAATGCTACTCTTTATTTTAATTCAGACAAAGTATGTCTTGTAGTAAAAAAAATGGTGTCTTTTTTGTAACGCTTTTTTTACTATTTAATTTCTCTTTTTTAATTGCGATATATATATCATGTGATGCAGCAGAATCTGTATACTTTCTTGCGATATAGTCATTATTAAAAAAAGATCAAACTCTAATGGTTAAAAGTAAAAAATACAAAGGGGGTAAATTCTATTGAGCTTCACTGTATAAACAACTGATCTCGATCACTAACATATCCATAAAACATCAATCAAGTCAATATTTTCTTCTCGTACAAGTAAGTACCAACGTTAAACGATAGAAGATAACGTATGATGTCAGCGTTTGGTTTCACATTTAGTAAAGATTGTCCAAAAAGTTTTTTTTTTTATTTAATTTGAGTGCAAAAAAATAATACTTCTCGTGTTCATTGTCTTGTATGTTATACAGCATGTGCGACAAAGTCCAACACTGATAAACTTCTTCTTTTTTCGTTCCTTTCTCATCCCACACGAGATGACATACCTACTGACAATCATAGCCCTTTTTATTTGATAATGTTGACAAAAACAAAACCAAAAAATTATCTTTTCTTTTTTCGAAATGAGGTGAAAAAACTGATTTAGTATCTTGCCTTTTTTGTTGAGATGACATCTACTACAAAAATGAGTATAACAAGAATATCAGCATCATCGGAGACTGCCGAAAATGAAATACTTGAATGTCTTCGACGCGATGGTGCTGCGATTGTTACTGGGATGTATTCAAGAAATCATGTTGAACAAGTGAAACAAGACCTTGCACCTCATTTTGATTCGGATACTGTCGATCAATCTGGTTTCTTTCCTGCAACGACACAACGAGCTACTGGTCTTTTTGCCATTTCACGTGCTTGTATCAATTTAGCTATGCATCCTTTGCTTCTGGCTGTGGCAAATCGACTACTCACATCGACGTACACCTATTATCTTGGCTCAGAAAAGAAAACTGTTAGTTCAAAACCGATAATTTCGTCAACTGTCGCCTTTCGTGTCAATCCTGGTGGTAAACAACAAGGACTTCATCGTGATGACGCTGATTTTCATGCACGACCATGTGATTGGCCAATGATGATTGGTTGTGTAATTGCCTTAACGCGTACTCACAAGGATAATGGTGCAACAATTGTTATTCCTGGTTCACATGCATGGGAAGATCAAAATCGTATACCATTGGTAGAGGAAGCTGTACCTGCTGAATTAGAACCCGGTGATGCAACCATCTTTGTAGGAAATGTTTATCATGCTGGAGGAGCTAATATTACTCGAGATGAATGGCGCGAAACAGCGGGCATATTTATGAGTAAAGGATTTTATCGACAAGCAGAAAATGAATACTTAATGGTGTCACCAGAACGATGCAAAGAACTTCAATTGAGTCCAGCAGAGTTGCGTGTACTTGGTTATGGGATCTCTCGACCGGCATGTGGTTTTTTCAAATATAAAGATCCGATGGAATCTATTTTTGGAATTATGGATGAAGAGACTGTTGAGCTGTAAGAAATGAGACCTACATAACCGAACACTACACATTTTTTTGTGTCTTCTTATGAATAACAATCTCCAAATTCATACTTTTAACGTTTACTTCAACAAACAATTTGTCATCTTATCTGCTTTAATTGAACACGACAAAATCACTTTTTCAGACTGTTTATTTGAAAAGTTTTCGACAGGTTCTACTTTCATAATTATACATTCTTATCTGTTGGTCGGTAATATAGATTCACTTAGCTTTGTTTACAGAAGATTTTAACATTCCTTCCGATACGCAATTCTAGTATAATTTGTTTCATATTAGCCAAAGATTTAACTTTTTTTTTTCAATCTCTGCATTACGTTGCCAATCAAGGTTAGAAACATTGTCTTAGTTTTACTACAACACAAAACTCTAAAGCATGGAATCAAGATCTGTTTTGTTTCATAAATGAGATGACACAATTACACTAGTAATCAATTAAAATCGCTTAAAAACTAGATTAATCGATTATTTCGAAAATCAATTAAAATCAATTTTGTCTTAGCGAAATCGCACTAATCGGTCAAATTTTTAATTGATTATTTTGATTTCTTTGAAAGTAATCGATTTTTACTGAGTAAAATCAATTAAAATCATATCTTACATCGAATTTAATCAGAATGGGATACTCTTAATCGATTTTTTGTGTTTATTTTTCGAAAAATCGATTTTAACACTTTGGGGATGGGATTTTTTTGGGAAAATAAAATTTCTCCTTTTCTGTGTGTTTCATCATAAATCAATCTGAACATCTATCGTATAAAAAATTTTGTATAAAAACGCATCGTTAAAAATTTTTCAAAGTATGATACAGTTCAAAACAAGGTACAACACATAAGCCAACATTACATTGAGCATATTCATATCTTGTTTTAGTATTTTTGTTTTGGATCTATTGTTCTATTATAGCAGACATGGCATCTTCGTCTATTTGTTCGTTCAGATGTACCTTCAGCTGTATGACCTTGAATTAGTGAAGGAAAGTGCCGTGCAATAAGTCTCATCGGATTTTCCAAAGGTTTTCTTCCCTTCTTTTCGCTCTTTTGACTTCCAATAGATTAGACAATGGGTCGAATCACATCTAATTGAAAGTCCGACAGATGCGTTGTTTTTCCGATCTTGAACTTGTATAAAATGAACGCGTTATATAAAGTGATATCAACCAGATGAAAAAGAACTGTTTATACCACTTTATATTTTTTTCGTATGTATTCTGAAAAACTGATCTGCATATCCGATTTGTCTATAGATCCCATGTTTTCATTACAATCTTTGATACGAATTGGCTTCACTATAGGATTTTGGGTAATATGATCGATTTTGCCTATAGGTACCATGGTTGGTTCGTGAATAGTTGAAAGTATATGAATATCACGTCGATCTTTCCATTTCAAAGCGAGAAGTATAACTGTATGTCTAAATACTTACTGGTATTATTCCAATTTGATTGTTTGTAAATTAGTTAAATGTATTCGATCCAATCTTACAGTATCACATGCTCAAGTTTGTATAGAATGTAATGTTTCACATAGGACAGGAGAAGAATATCAGTTGTCAACAAATAAATTGTGGCATTTCTGTAAATATTTCTCTATTAGCTTCATAACAAGCGATTCGGATGCACCTAACTTCTCATCACGATGAATTAATGTAGTAGATTCAATGTAAGCAATAAAGTTCAATATGAAACCGGTACGACAATCACACAAAATATACACTTTGATACAAAATCTGTTCCGTTTCGAAAGGATATATTATTTGAAACTTAGCCTACCCTTCCATAACATAAAATCCTCATCGATTACCAAATTCTAGTATGAATTGACAGAAAGATGAAATTTTATCTTCAAATCATCAAGAATAGACTTTACTTTGAACAATCTATCTTCACCTGTGTAGTCTTCATTGTTGTTGAAATGTATAGATCTAAGCAAAGTTAGATATCTGTCTCTTGAAAAGATGTGACTGAATACAGGAGTCGATGTTAACTCATAGATGGACCGGGTAATCGTTTAGGTGATGTTTTTTTATATGAGTCATCAGCATTGTTGTAGCCAAAAAGACATACATTTCATCAATGCTTGTATCCATCCAAGGAGCAGCATGGGATAAAGTACTTTTTGAATTTTGTGGATGATACTGATTTGTTTCTATTACAATTATTTGCATTAAAGTTTGATCAAAATAAATTTGGGAAAAATCTAATGGGGTCTCAAGATGACGATTTACCAAATATTGTGTCAAAACACATTGGTTTGGATCAAAGTGAAATAAATGATGCTTGAAGGTGCCGCTGACCCATATCTGAGGAGCTGAATGTTGGCTTTCTATTCATTAAACGAAAGCAACGAAGGTACTAAAAGATTTCTTCATTCGAGTTGACGTGACATTTATCGGGTGAAGAACAGATTTCTAAATTGAATTTTCATATCGTATCATGGAATATACTGATTTTGAGATTTGATGCACATTGAAAATTCAAAAATTCACTCATAAAGCTGCTATTCAATAAAAATTCAGGACCGCGAACTTCGAAATATATAAAATTCTAAATACTTTCTTTCTCTTACCATATCAATTTGCCCATTATGTTTCGGACGGCTGACTGAGAGAGATTATTTCCCTATACGCTTAGGCACTAATCAACGATCGTATGTCACAAACAAAACTACACCTTGCGTTATCAGTAACATAATTGTCATTGCCTTTTTAGACGGACTATGAAGAAAGACACGTCTTCTCAAGAATATGTGAAGAGCAAAAAAAAGATAAAAACAGATTCTTAATCATCACAAAAACATTCACCTGCATTAAAGGTAAATATCATTCGTTGAATTTTATATTCTATATTTATATACGTAGCATTCGTTTTCAATAAAATTAGATTGAAATAAAAATGGCATCATGTGGAAAAATGATTCTTGGTTTTCTAATTATTCTTACAATTGGTGTCTTTATAACACAAATCTACTTTGGTATCTATTATCTTCATAAACCAGTTGCTTGTGAACGTTCTAAATTTCTGACTATCATAACTTTGGCTGGCGGTTGCAGTGGTATCTTATCGGTAGTGTTTGTCTCGTGTTGTTGTCATGGTTGTAGTTTTGGACTCAGATTATGAAATCCTGATCGTAATAAATGGCAAATCTTCTACAGATCACACAGTTGAATTTACAGAGAATAAAATTATCTTTCCTCCAAAAATAAAAAATAATAATTGTCACGTCTTGTGCTGTGTATCAATGAAGAAGAAGAAATAGGTCAATATAAGTTTATTGACGTGTTGAACAGAAATAAGGTCAAAAAAGATAATGTTGCAACAAACTGACGCAATCATCTAAAAGAAAATATACGAAAAAAAAGGAAATACGCAGTACAAAGAAAAAAAAGAAATACGTAATATGAGACTAGACATAGGACAAAGAACGAAACAATATATGTATTATCTAGCTACTCAGAATGTATAACAAAAACTAAAGAGAACGAAAGAAAAGGAAAGAAAACAAATATAGTATTGTATGCATTTGTTTTCACTATATGACAATAATAAATCTAAATTAACAATGACATTTTGAATCGTGTAGAGTATTGATGATGATACTAATTCAGAACTTTGTTTTATTCTAAGAAAAGACAATGGAATTTAAAAGAGATTAGTTTGATTATTTTCGGATTGAATTAGACCGTAATTTTCTTCTGAAACAGAATAGTTGAATGTACGCAATGATTGATTGAAGTAAGATGGAAAAGCTGCTCCTAAAATCTCATATTCTAGTGAACCCGCGCGCATCCTGATGAATACTAATGAAATCATATAAATTCACTTTCCTCATCTTTGAAAATAATCTATTCTCCTACATCTAGGACGGATGAGATTATTTCAAGTAATGTCCTACAATTGCTATCTTTTTCAGAATTTTATTCTTACTATTTTACTAGATCCTACACCAGAAAATTCAGAGTCAACAAATAATTCTATATATCTCGTAATATCTTTCATATTATCTCCTAATATGACATTATCAATTCTAGAGATATATGAAAGTAGATAAACAAGTCTATCTAGATCGAGTGTATTGCAAAATCTCACTATAAGTTTCGGTAATCGTGTATATAATTAAAAAAATTAAAACATGAAAACAAAAATTAATCTGAAGTTCGTCTCATCTTTCTTAACAATGAGTTGCTTGAATTCATGATGAGTTATCATATTTAGAGATGCATCAATCACATATTCGATTTCAACAATGTGTAATCACTTGCAACATACTTGTAGGGAAAGTAAAAAAAAGTAACGAAATTATCAATCCTATCTGCTAACATTATATCAGTGAAAACAAATTATTTGCTCTTCAGATGGTATGTTTTCTCTTTGTTGAATCATTGCTTTTACTGCACCGATTATGGTCTACTTCTATTTGATGAAATAAATCAAAAAATTTTGAATAATTTTTTTGAAAATAAACAATCGATCAAATCCATCTAACACCATTAATCAAGTCGACGACTTATTAGTGATACTAATTGATAGATGACTTATCAAAACTTATTACAGAAAAAACACTACGTCACATAAATACTGCTCAATGAAATCAACGAAGAAAAATGCTCGTCTGAAAAATTCTCGGCAAACATCTATAATCACTTTTATGCATTCATGATTGATAAAAACATGAAAAACTTTAGAAATTCGAAGAATTTTCTCCCAATCAGCAATAAATATTGATCTGTAAAGAACTACAGTCATAAAACAATTCTAATTCAACGATATAAACACATTTTCTCTTGTTTTTATTCTGCTTTGGTAACAATAGTCATGTACACATGAAAAAAACAACAAACGAAGCAATGATCTTGATCATCTCATATTCATGAGTATCTATCTTTTCGATTTCATTTTCAATTTGCAATACTTTTCGATATTATCGACTGAAAAAAAGAAAAGAAAACAAGAAAAAGAGAAAAATCAAAAACAAAAAAGTTCTGCCTCTTTTCATCGGTGTGTTTAGGTCAATCATACAGGTTCTATTTTCTCGTTTCCTAAATGGCTATGTTTATTTCTAAAACATTTGATGGAAAAAAACCATATTGATACTCTACATTGACAGTTGTCATGTTTATTTCTCATTCCATTAATAACATTTTTCAATGCTATCATTTAGAGGAGAAAAGTTTTTTTACAAAACAAAAAAAAAACATAATCAAGAAGAAAAATAATTGATCACATTGTGTATAATCAACACATTGATAATTTCTTGTTGTTTATGGAGAAGAATATGTCACTAAAATATAAATAAATCATGCTAAAACTGTACAGGAATATCCGTTTCTCAAAACTGAATATATTTATAATGAAAATTCAAATCAATACTTCGACGACTCATGAATAATGACTAGAGTCCTGTAGAGTCAAACTTTTTGACTTCAAAAGTCGATTCTGATACTGAAGATGTATACTCTTGCAGCTTCACCATCGACTCTGGAAAAAAACTTTTTTTGACTTTAATTCCAAGAAATTCGGAAATTGTTTTTCTGACTAGCATATATAGTTTTTGTACTAGAATCAACTATTTAAATCATTTAAAATCTGTATATGTTTTTTTTCTCAAATAGTTATCAAACTTAAAATAGCGACGATAATTTTTTTAATAACGTTAAGTTGGAATAGCTTATTTATGTTGAAGATCAATAAGCTAAATATTGTTACAAAGGGTGCAGCTATTTAAATCATTGAATAACTGTATATTATTGAAAAAAAGTGTTTCTTTTGAGAATCTACGATTGATGACACAGTTGACGTTTCGCTTCAATGCATCTATAGGAAGTATGATTAACAACGAATAAATCGTCATAGATAGTTACTTGTCATGTTCTATGTTAGTTATTCTATGAAGCATAAAGATTTTCAACAATATTCTAAATAAATGTATTCTTTTGAAAAATATCTTTGATGAAAATCGAAAATTCATAAAACTTTCCTTCGTTATTATGCGACATCTGTACTGGTGATCTAATTGATTACTAAACGTAACGAATCATTGAAAAACTCTTGTGTAAAGAAATAACCAACGTTAATACTCTTGATTGAAGTATTTCTTTTTTTTTCCTGTTTTTTTGAAATTCCATGAAAACGGTGGAGACTCTTTATGATTTCTCCAATCCTATGCAAAATACATAAAGAACGAAGTTTTTATAGATATAGACAATAATAAAATCTTATATGAATGTAAGAAGAATTTTCTTTTTTGTTTCAGATTTTAGAAATGGCACGTGTAACAGATAATGAATTTACTTATTTTATTAAAATTTCGGATGAAAATGGTGAACGATATTATTTAAAAAGTACAATTGATGAACAGAATAATACTATTTTAATACATTTGACAAATTTCAAAAATAGTTGGGTAGGAGTACGTAAGTATTTTTGTATTGCAATTATTTTGATTATTTAATTTTGTATATGAAATATTTTAGTCAATCAAGAACAAGTTCGAATCTTAGCAAAAAAATTTCCATCCGAATCGAATGATTCATTTTATTCACATACACAACGTGCTTTTTCCAAGGGAAATACGGCAACAATTGATGGAAGAAGTTATGTATTTAATTGTAAAAAACTTGACAAAAATCGACTTGAAGTATGTTGAATTATAGAAAGAAGAAAATGAAATTCTACTATTTAGTCGAATTCTTAATTATGTTTTATATTGATAAATGATTAATAAGAAAATTATCAATCACTATTCTAATCGGATTCAAATGTACAAACTAATTACTATCTACGAAAATATATCATTTGATTCATTTATACGTTTTCATCTAAGTCGATTTGAATGTGTATCTAGCACAAATCCAATATGGATCATTGAAATATACCATTAATCATGTTTTCTAACTAGACTATTTTTTTTTTAGCTCAGACTTAACCAATGAAATTAGCAAGAAAATAGTAACTGAATTTCGAACTATTAAATATAAAAACAAAAGGTTGATACAATGTCAATTGTGACTGCATAGTATATAAGGATATGATACCAGAGAAATTGATATACTTGCTGAGTGTATAGAATAAGTATAAAAATATCGTTGCTGAGCATAGATCTCGATGTGGGAGAGGTTATGGTGCGCTAGGCTCTCTCCTTTCACCTCACGTTTTACGTCATGTCTGCGAAAATGTTGACCTGTAGTTGGAGAACCGTCTGCCAAGTTAAAGAAGGCAGCTTTTCTCAGTCACTTTTTGCCAGATAGACTACCTTCAACTGTCTGTTAAATTTTTAACCTCTTCCACTGCTAAAAATCATCGAGAACTCTATTTCTGATGATGAAAACGCTCCAACTAAAGACTATGTACAATTACATAGACTCAAATAACCTATGACTATTCTGAAAAGATTTCATGCTCTAAGCTTATTGCTACGAAGATACTGCAGTTTTACGGTATTTTTTAAGTAACTATCATGTTCCCACCCGCGAAGGCCAGAAACAAATGATTTTCGAAGTTTCGCTTAAAACTTTGCATAGAGACTAGTCTTAACAAGACTAATTTATTGTAAAAATTTCAAGTCTTTTAATTTATTCGTATTTTGAAATGATAACATCAAATCTGCCGATTTATGCGAGTAATGTAAAAGACGTGCTATTATCATAGTTGTATCTTAGAATAGAAACAGCAATAAGATCTGAAATATTCACAAAAAACTAGTCTCGTTAAGGTCTATCTCTATGCAAAATTTCAAGTTTAAGCCTGAAAATTATTTTTTCTGATGTTTCTGAAGAATGATACTGCGGCATTCATTTAAAAATACTGTAAAACTGCAGTATTTATGCAGCAATAGGCTAAGAGTCTGAACTCTTTTCAAAATATTCATAACTCATTTGACTCTATATAATATCGATTCAGAAGTAATTTATCAATTAGAGGACTTTTCTCATGCATAGAACTGCAACTTTAATTCAGTTTGCTAGCTTATAAGACTTAATCTAAAGTAGTATTGACCTCTATTGAACAGTAATACAGTTCTTCAAAGTTGTTTCATTATTAATCAAGTGTACTTTTAATTAACTGACTAGTTTTCTATTTATTTTTCAGTTTGTTTGGAAAGAAAAAGTTGAAGCATTAAATTCATTAAAGATTGTTGGTAGTATTGAACTTCAAGAAAGACCAAATGAAGAAGTAATTATTTTATCTATTTCATTTCTTTCTCTTATTATGACTTGTTTAGGTTTTAACTAAAATAATCAATTACACTATTGGTGAAATGGAAACATTAAAAGCAGGAAATGAACAAAAAACATCTGAAATTCAACGTATTAATAGTCAATTAAATAAAGCTCTTGAAGTAAATAATATAAAAAGATCACTATTCTATAATAATTAATTAATGGATGACAAAAAATAAATGAGACAAATTGTTTTTCTCGTTTTCAGATATTGTCCAACGTGTGAGGTATTTTGTTTTAGGCTATCTCCGTAGAGAATTTTCTACTCTACAAAGACGTCGTTTTTGTTTTTCAAGTAACGTTGTTTTTTATGAAGCAGGATCTGAAAGGAGTGTTGCAGTATATAGAGTAGAAATTTGGACCCATCCTCTCTTCCCTATTCACAAACGGTGACAGACAGGCTTCGGAGACATCACAAATCGTGACAGGCAGGCTTTGAGGACACCACAGACCGTGACAGACATGACTCGGACTCATCACAGACCGTGACAGTCGGACTCCAGAGACCATCTCAGATGTTATGTATACCTAATATCTAACTGGAGTACTCATGGAGTATTTTCTTTATGAAGTTTCACTCTGTAAATTTAGGAATGCTGATGAAATACTCCTAGTATACGTGAAAAAGAGCCGTTTTTAGGGAATTAGTAATAATAGATACATCGCGTTTCACATTTTAATCCCGCAGGGATTGCGCTAATTTTTTTGTCGACACAAAATTTAAAAAATGAGCACCTACTCAGTTGTTTAATTGCGATTTCCTATTTGTGTAAACATTTGTTTATCAAAACTGATACTTAAAGTAAAGTATTTTTACCATAAATGCATAGAGAGTTTCGAACTCTCTGCTTGCACAATCTTTTCAAAGTTTCTGCTGCTTTGTTCATAAGAAAAAGATATTGATCCAATATTTAGTGGTATTTTGAGATCCATTCTGGCAAACTATGTTTTCCAAAGTAAGACGTGGTCTATGACACGTTTGTTATCATACCGCCTTGTGTAGAATTTAATTCTCAACAAAATGTATGCTTGTGAAATTGAAGAATAAAAATATTAGATTATGTCAAATCAAAACAGAACAATGATGTCATTCTGACTAGAAAAAGGATTTTCCAGTTATTTTTCACATTTTTTATTTCAAAAATTTTTCATACATTTATTTCTGCTACAATCTTGAAACATATATCAAATAATACAGAATTTTATGAAGAATTTCATAACATTTTTAAAATTTCAGCAAAATCTTTATGAAATATTTTTCGTTTTTTGACCGTTGCAGTCAAATGATTGAGTATGTTTTCATCTTTTAAATTTTGTGGCGACAAAAAAAAACATTATGTAAAAAACAAAAGCGGCAGCTTTGTAAAGTAGGAAATTCTCTATCGAATGAGACTAAAATGAAGTCTTTTATCTGTTGGAAAGTTTCCTAAAAAGAGGAAAACATTGTTTTCCATTTATTATGCACTACTTATTATTTTTGTTTTCTAGACAGTTAAGCGAACCGTTGATTTAAAAGAACAACTTGAAGCTGATCTTTATCGAAAGGTAAATAGATTATTATTTATCACTTTTATTAATAAATTCACAATTATTATACAATAAACGGTTTTTCATGTTTCCAAGCAGTGTTACAAGTATTTGTTCTACTTGCGGAACTTTCGTAATGTAATCATTGGAGATTTGTTCAATTAAAGATGGATAATCTTTTTTAATAATTGCTATTAAATGGAAATTGTCCGCCTCTTTTAATGAAGTTTGATGAAAATCACTAAATTCATTAATCATTGAAAGTGCATCAGTGTAAGATGCAAGCAAAAATTCAAGTTCAGAACGTAAATTTGCTATCATTGTTTTTCCTTCAGAATCAAATAAGTTGTTAATTGTTGACAATGATTGCGTATCTTGAACAATATTTAATGTTGTTGATAAAACTCCTAATACAGCTCTAACGTCATCATTTTCTTTAAGATAATCTTCAAATTCTTTATTTGGATGAATTGATTTTAATAGATAATGAAATGCTTGGTTAAGATTTGTTTTTGGTTGAATTTGAGTCAAACATAAATGTTTTATATATGCCCAATGTTTTGATATTTGATTGATATTTTCATTTGTTTTGCATTTTAAATGTTTGATAAGTTCGCTAACAGTATGATCTAATTCTGTTTGACGTTTTTTATAATAACTGATCTGTTCCGGAGAAAGCTGTGGTATATGGAAAACAGAATTACAGACAGGAGAAGAAGCAGGAGCAGGAATCGGAACAGATAGTGAACAGTTTGTTGTTTCAACTGGATCTTCTTCTTCAAAAGAAAGTTTTGGTTGAAAAACAAGTTGAGATAAACATGATTGTAAAGATGAAGATGAAGGGTTTAAGGTGAATTCTGGACAAGATTCACGTTGTCGACTGAAACTGAGTAAACGTGTGAAAGGCTTGCGATCTAATTTTTTCTTAGATTCAGATTGAGATAAATCGAAGATCTCTGATGTATTTTTTTTCAGTGGTTGTTTTTTATCTTTATTTGATATTTTTTCATCTTGAATTGATTGTAATGTAGTGTTTTGATTATCAAAATTTTGTTCAGTTGAAATAATTCGAAAAGAATTCGATCTTAATCGACCATGATGACATTGAAGACATATATCAGATTCAATTGATACATTAAACTTTTTACATATTTTGCATAATGATGTATTCACAAGTAAATGTTCAGTTGAATTTGTTTTTGTTATTGGCTGATTATCATTTATTAATGGATAATTATTTACGTCTATAGATAATGGACACATAGACCAAATCGTAGACGAAATCGATGAAGTTGTATTATTCGGTACAACAGATAATTTTGAAGATAAAATTGAATGAGGATCATTTTCAACAAGATGAATTTGTCGATGAGGCATACTAGTAAATTCAATTTGGTTCATAATACTTTCAAAAAAATATTTTGTCACATTGACACGTTTGTGCGTCGTTAACAAACGTTATATAGTGTTCTTGACGGTCGGACGGTTTTTTTTCCTTTCTCATCATGATATAGTCGTATCTATTTATCAATCATAAAAAAAAATCCCAGACGCCCACCTACCATGTGCATGAATAGTAACTATTCAAAGGTTAAAAACAACGATGTTTTATTAATTTGATAGAAAAGAAAGTCTGGAGAAAATACCTTATAAATTGTAATCAATTAGGAAGAAAATTTAAATGGTATTTTTCCCGTGACAACATTATTTTTCAATATTGAATTTATTTCATACAAATGTTTGACATAATTGCAAACGAAGGTATATATTATATATATATATATATATAACATGTCGCAAAATGAAGAAAATAGATCGAGGTTATTATTATTACATTTACGACAAATTTTCGTGTTGTTTATATCACGATCAACATTATGAAAAGCTACTATGCTATTGAATAGGTGATAAGAATCATTGATGTATAACCTTGAAAATTCAAAACAAAAATATCTTAATAAAAAATTCATTAGAAATATCAGAACTGTGGAAAACAAAGAAAATTTGTTTTTTTTTTCTTCATTTTCGTTAGTTTGCTCTTGTATTGAATACAAAAAAGGTTGAACTATCAAAACTTAAACATCAACTTGAATCATATCGAAATGAACATCCCATAACAGGAAATGGTTAATTTTATTTTATTCTTTTCTGAAAATAAAGAATTTTTATATTCAGATAATGAATCATATGATAATTCACAATCTCAAAATACATCACCTATGCATACAACAACAACATTGGATGATATTGAATATTCAGGAAATAAACGTACTAGACATCAAATAAATAATACAGATACAAGTGAAGATGATGAAATACAACATGTAAATTAAATAATTGATTTTTATCAATTGTTTTTTTTTTATTTGATAATTAAAGATCGAAATGTCAAATCGACCATCAAAATTAAAAATGGTTGATAATAGTCAAGATAGTTCACTTGATTTAGGTAATGATCAAATGGATTATAAAACATCAACAATTAACAAACATTATCAACGGTATATAACTAAAACATACAATAGGATTTTTTTTCTTATGTTTTTTTTTTTATCTTCTAGACGAAACTATGTTACCGGTGTCAATTCAATTTCGACTCGTCCATTTGTTAAGTATGAGAATATTTTCTTAGTTTTATAAAACACAATCGAAAAGCAGTGTTGAAATATCTAGAATAGAAATTTTTGCACAGTTTCCCTCACTAGAGTCCGTTGGGTTCAAAATTTTCGTACCCGGATCCACTCGAGTCTGCGACTAATCCGACGGATTCTACCTACAAATTGTGACAAATTTCTAGAGGATTAAATCAAATGATAGCGAATAAATATATTCGAAAATAGATAGAATAAAATCATCTTCCTATGATCAACAAAAGCAGCTACATCGTGTTTCACATTTTAATCTCCCAGAAATAACACTAACAACTTTCTTAATATAATTTATATATTTAGTCCTACAAGAGTTTCTTCAACAATGGCAACACCTTCATTACCCGATGATTCTCAAACAACCGATGATTTATTGAATAAAATCTAATTTGAAATATCTTTTGCTTTTTTTTCTTCTTCTTGTGATTTTCTAATTATTTTTCAAAATGATTATATTTTAATAAATATTCTTCATTTATTATATGTTGTAGATAAACATGAGTGAAAAATTAAATACTTATTCATGTTCTGTTTGTACATATGTACAATCTATTGATGTAGCAAAATGTGAAATGGTACATTTTTCTTTTTTCTTTTTTTTTCAAATTTTTAATTTATTGATCTATTAAATCTAGTGTGAAACACTGAATCCTCTTCATTCCAAACAGACAAAATCAGATGATTTGACTTATAGTAATGGCACAATCCGATGTCCGATATGTACTTTTATTAATAATGGTAACCATGTTAGAGGTTTGTTTTCTTTGAAATATTAAGAAATATATAAATTATTGTTTTTTTTGTTTTTCGTAGTTTGTGAAGTGTGTGGACACGAATTTGAATCTGATAATAATCCCTCTAAAAAATTTCGAGTAGATACAAATGAAGATGAGGAAGAAGAAGAAGAAGAAGAAGATGATGATGATGATAATTTTTATGATTTGGATGATGAAATATATGAGTCATCAATGCCACAAAATAAAGATAAGAAACAAAAAGTTATTGAAGCTGTAGAAAAACCAATGAATGATAATGAATTAAAATTATATTATAATCAATATATATCTGTACTGAAAGAACAACGACAACAAACAAAAAAACTTTCAGATAAACAATTAAATGAAATTATTTTACAACTTTTTCATTCACTTCAATATAAAAATGAACAACCAGAAGGTAAATAATTTAAAAAAAAAAAAAGAAAGAAAGAGAAATGTATTGATAAATAATTGTATTTTCATAGGTCAATTGCTTTTTCGACATTGTCAAATTTGTTATGACAAAGATGAACCTGTAATTACAATGAATGTAAGCATTTATAAAACAAGAGTTTTTTTTTCATATAAATCTAACAAAGAAACGTTAATATTCATCGCCTGCCATTGAAAAATTTGAATTTTTTAAGATGTAATGTGTTGATTAGATTTATGTTTTAATGAGACTAATCAAAATTTAGATTTTTAATTTTTTCTTGTCGAAATATAAAATTAATAAATTTTCATAGGCAATATCAATTTTTTTAAAACTTTCTTAAACATCACAATGCAATGTTTCAAAGAAATTATCCTAAAACTCTTTCCATGACATAGATATGATCTTTAAAATAGACAGCTTTATATTGACTAGTCTTTTCGTATGATTAAATCTCGGTTGTTTACATAATCACAACATAAAAATGTTCTAAGCACGAGATACGTACATTCGTGTTCTCTTTCGATTCGGCACTTAACGTTTTTTTTTCTCCTTGCAGTGTTTTTCAATCAAAGACGTTCGCTTTAATTTTAAAATATTTTCATGTCAATAGTTAAGTATCACAATAAGCAACTGACTATCGGACATAATATCTATAGTAAAGAACGTGCGAAATTCAGAACATAACTGAATCTAAGACATGATCGGAAAGTTTTTTGACAAGATGTTTATTTGCTAGTTAGTATTTCCAACGAGTCAATAGCTATGAGCTAGTCTTGATTTATATATCAGCTTGCAGATCAGAAAATTTCCTACTGTTTTATAGTTTTTATTATTTTTCGAGAACCCATCTCAATTTTCGTTTATTCAAAATACTTATTTTTGAAAAATCGACAATCGTTTTATGTTGAAAGATACTTGTAGCCTCACTTGAATAAAGGCTATAGCTTAGTGCAATATCACATTTTTATAGAGAAGCGTTCGCTCTGTAAAGCAACTAACTCTAATACTTTTTAACTTGATCGAAAATGGAGACTTATAGGATAAACAAAAATCTATTGATTTATCATGAAAAATAGTTTTTTTTCAGATCGTTTAAAAAGTCTCTCACTACTCTTGAACAAAAACTAAGACAAAATTTCTTAGCTCATATTTAAAACAAGTACAAAATTCTCGTCCTAGCTTATAGTTTTTGAGGTTCGTCGATAATATTTTCTAATATATCAAAAAAGTGAACAAATATCTTATCTAAAAACTTTGCAATCACTCATTATATTAATCTTACGAAGAACTCTATATATATATATATCGCATGTCAAAAAATAAACAGAAACTTTTCCTTTATTTAGGTAGAAATATCCGAAATTATTAAATCTCTATTTCTCAAAATCAAAATAATTGTCATTTGTTTCAATTTGTCTATAACTATCTAAATAGGCTTGTGGTCATCGTATGATATGTCCAGATGATTTTCATCAATATTTATCAACACGTATTCGTGATGGAGATCTTCTTCCATGGATTCCATGTCCTGCAGAAATATGTAATGTTCCATGTGATGCTAAAAATATAATTGAAGATGGTCGTTTAACACATCCGGAACGTCTATCATTTATAACGACATATATGTTGAAAAAATTATCTCGTAATGAAAATTTTATTACATGTATTCAATGTCAACAAGGTGGCTTTCTTCAAATTGGTCCATCAAAAAAACAAGAAGTTACATGTCAAATATGTAATGTTAAACAAACAATTGAAAAAGGATCAGATGGAGATCTTGATATAGGTATGTATATTTGTTTCTTTTTTCTTTTTCTTTTATTAATTTATTTATTATTTCATTAAAAAAAAACCAAACATCAATCAGCTTTTAAACAAATGATTCAATCAGGACAATTACGTGAATGTCCAACATGTCGTCTTTTAACTTTAAAAGAAAAAGGTTTATGTAATGTTATTGAATGTGCTAAATGTGGAATTTGGTGGAATTGGAGAACAAGAGAACAAGGTCATAGTGGAAAAGATCTAAAACAAAGAGCTCGAATGAATGGAACACTATGGGAACCTGGTTTGAAAAAGAAAAATTTTCTTTTGATTTTAAATAATTTTTTGTTTTTATTCGATTTCTTTTTTAGGTGAACTTCGATATCAACAAGAATTAGAACGAAATAATCCAACTGAATTCAAAGCTTTATTAGAACGAAATGGTGTTAAATATGATCCAAATTATATACGTGGTGGATGGAATGAGGACTAATTTAATATTTCTTTTTTGTCTCTTAATCAAGACAAATATTCCGAAATAATTTCTTTGTTTTTCTTGTAAAACTATTGCACTTGTGTGATTATTTTGGTGTATTATAAATTGATATTTCGATTTTTTCTTAAAACTATATCATCAAAATTATTTCCTGTTTTATTTTTTTACACTGATTTAATACAAAATAACAAATCAAAATAATAGATGATATTGTAATAATTATTTTGACAAAAGAAATTTTGTATTCATCTTATTTTCATAATTCTTTAAATAATATGATAGTTTGTGTTCTTCTTTCTTGAGAAAAAAAATTTCTTTTTCGACATCACTCCTTTATTGTTAGAGATGTAAATTGAGATACTGCTATGACCGAAAAAACCAGAGAGTGTTCCAAAATAATTACTGATGTTGATAACATGCAAACTACCAATCGAATTCAACTAAAAAAAATGACTACATGAGAAGATTGCATTAAGGATACTTTCCGATTTTCGAAGATGGCATAATTGATCAAGCTAAAATTTTTACCATAGATATAGTACCAATAATAAGAAGGCAACTATTCGAGAAAAAATTCTGAAGTGTATCTTTTTGGTTTTTCTTTAAGAAGTTCTGGTTTTCATAGGGTCACATCCTGATATATTATGACTTCAATCAAACTTTATTCTCTTAGACTAAAAACTTTTTGGAAATACCTAATAATGTATCTCAGACATTGTTTTACACTTTTCCAAAAAGCTCACTTTCTTTTGTTTTTATGTCAAAAATCGTAAATGCTCGGTATCAAAACTGTAGTCTTGACTTTCAGAATCCTGGAAATCTAGATGTCACGTCTTGTGCTGCGTATCAATGAAGAAGAAGAAACAGGTCAATATAAGTTTATTGACGTGTTGAACAGAAATAAGGTCAAAAAAGATAATGTTGCAACAAACTGACGCAATCACCCAAAAGAAAATATATGAAAAAAAAAGGAAATACGCAATACAAAGAAGAAAAAGAAATACGTAATATGAGACTAGACATAGGACAAAGAACGAAACAATATATGTATTATCTAGCTACTCAGAATGTATAACAAAAACTAAAGAGAACGAAAGAAAAGGAAAGAAAACAAATATAGTATTGTATGCATTTGTTTTCACTATATGACACTAGATAAGAGAGTTAAAAATGAAAACGATTGATTTCATCTCTGAAGAATACTTTTAAGTATCAGTGGTAAAATTGCAGTCTGATTGAACAAAGTTAGATAGGGATCGTAGCAATCAGGATGCGACTCTATGGAAAATCAGGGTTTCTCAGAAAAAAACCCACAAAAATCTACTTCAAATTTAATTCCATAAATACGTGTCTCCTTATTTTTAGTGTTCTATCTGTCGTAAAAATTTGAGCTTGATCGTTTGTACCATTTTCGAGAATCAGAATCGATCTAATAGAGAGGTGGATATCCTTAAAGTTCTCTCGTAACACTTTACTGAAACTAATATCATAACAATGCGATCATGTTATGTAAATTCTACAATAATAATAGATAAAAAAGGGTTGATGAAGTTTCATGTTGTTTGTACAAATGAACCAACATTCTATGTTTAACCTATCAGCAAAACCCATTGAGAAATGCATCAAATTAATGCAGAGCTTAGAAAACGTTAAAACAAATTAGAACTTCTTCGAATATTGATTATGAAATACATTAATTTCTAGAGAATAGTTTTTCGTAGCATGTATATTCCAAGAGAAAGTCTAATTCTATGAATTCCACGTTTATCTAGCTTCGCGTCATTCGAATGTATCTTATGAGATGTTTGCGAATGATCAGCTTCAGTTGACAATCAGAATTGACAAAGAGAAAACTCTATGTAGTGTCTCTCCTTTTTTTTTGTGTTAAAATGGACTTGAATTCGTTATTAGATTCATGAGATAATTATGAACAACCGATAAAAATAAGACTACACGAAACGAAACTCTTTAATGAATGTTCAAACAAATCATAAAACGCTCATGTAATTTGGCTGAATTTGAAAAAGATATTCATGATTCTTTTTTGCATTTCGACTTTTGGAATTTCCTGTCGAGACATACATTTGCAATGTTTCCATCGAAAATTTTACTGTTTGTGTATGTCTTTGTCAAATCTTCTTGCCTCTGATTCTATTAATTGTCTATTATCAGATAAAGCTTTTATACTAAATTTCGTCAATAATTAGAGAACGGCTAGTTTAGAAAAATGTCAAAAAGATGATACGAGCACAAGTTGTAATTTAGCTGAGATATTGAATTTTCATCAGAATGGTTCTATTGGAGTCTAGTTTTCAACCTGAAACTTTGCCTACAGAAATCTTTCAATTAGATAAATTTGTGTATAAAATTTGAAAATCTTCGATAAATTCACTTTCGGATATTAGTCTTTCAACAGCTACAATAAATCAGAACTTTATGTTGACAAAGTTACCGGTTAAAAATTGGAATCATGTAGAACAAATTTGATGAAGATTCGATGTTTCAACCAAATCACAACTTGCACCTGTATCGTCTTTGGCTTTTTCTAGTCTACACAATTTTCTACTTGTGGAAAAAATTTTAGCTCAAACATTTTTAATTACATCCAATCATATACACTGAGTAGCAAAAAAAAAACTTTGATTATTTAGCAAATATAATCCATACAAAAAAATTTAACCTATGAAAATAAGAATTCAATTATAACATTGATTTTTATTCAACTAAGATTCGATGTATAATCCTTTTCTAATTTTAGATATCATTCATTGATATTTAATTCAAAAAAAAAAATTAATATCGATCTATTATGTCTGTTAAACTGCCATGTATTAAATGTGAATTAAGAGATAATTCCAATGGATTATTTACTTGTAATGGTCAGTTTTATTGTTTCTTTTCTAATCAATCTATTCTATAATTTTTCTAGGATGTCAACAAAGTTTTTGTTTAAATCATATTACAAGTCATTCAAATGAACTTTACAATCGTTTTGAACAAATAATGAATGAATATAATTTAGTTAACGATATTTTTCTTGATTATAAAAAAAGAACAAATGATATTCAATGGAAATTACAAAAACGAGAAAAAGAAATAAATCAAATTAAATCACAAATTAATGAATATCAAAAACAATCGAAGTAACACAATAATTAAACAACAAAAAATAAATAAATAAATAGGAGAAAAATTTTCGTTTGTTTTTTTTTTTGAAGTTATTCAGAAAAAGATCTTGATAAATGGGCGATGCAATTAGAAAAATTCAAAACACAATTAATACAAGCTAATCAATCTAAATCATTCATTGAATCAATCTATTCGTTACATGATTGGTTGTTCAATTCAAGAGAAATCAAATTATATATTTCATTTCTTCTGATTTTTTTCATTTTCTATTGTATTCTCTCTTTTGGAAAATTAAATTTATCATTATCAAAGATAACATTCAGTCAAGTCAATGGGCCAATTCAACTTTCTAAAGATGCCTCTGTAGCTGAACATTATGGTTTAGATTTTATTTCCGGTTCAGTTCGTGTTAATCAAATCTATTCAAGAGGAGTACATTCTATACGATTATCATTTGAGACCTTCTCATCATCAAAAACTTTTATCGGTATGATCGAGTTAAATGGTAAACAATCAACATCATCATCATCATCATACGGTTGGTTTATTGGTGATAAACAAGTGATTGATCATAAACCAGGAATATATAAAATTTTTCAAATAATAAAAAAGTAAAAATTTAAAAAAAAATATTTCTATTAAAATTGATTAAAGTGTTTAGAATTTGGTCATTTGGGATTCGCAATCAACTAAAACATTGTTTTACTCGTGATGAAAAACAAGAGAATACAATTGAAATAGAAATTGATTGTGACAATTTAAAGATTGCATTGAATAATAAACAGATGAATGAAAAATACGAACTTGATATTGATCGGAAACAATTTCCATTACCATGGCAGATTATTATTGAACTGGATCATAATGGAGATCGTGTACGTCTTCAATAATAAAATTCTTTATTGCTTTTGGTGATAGAACAGTGAACTTTTATTGATATCTTACAAAATGTATATTTTTGAAAATAAATATTTTTCTATTTCATTTATGAACATCTGATGTCTCTATGTTACTTTATTCTGAAATTTTATCAGTCCATTTATTGATAAATGTACAGTTTCAGTAAAGTGTTCACTGATTTACCTGGTATATACATGTTGTATGGGTGTATCAATTCTTCAGTGGGCGTCAATCCAGTGTAGTCAGTATTTTCACCAAAACTACACATCCCTACTGCAATATAAGTTCTTGTATTGGACGAATTAAACCAACCTCATTCTTTATTTGCTTGTTCGCAATTCAGACTTCAAACAGTAATGTATTAAACAATTAAATATTAAAAAAAATTAAGTTTCTAGACGAAATTATGATCAAATCAAAAATGTTGAGCGGACACACTTTGACATCTATCGAGACGATAGTATTGTTTAATAAAAATAATCTCAAGACAAAATAGAATAAAGTACATCAGTCGTTGTGACATTAGGAAAAAACAACAACAGAAGAACATAGTTCACTAGAGAACCACCCGGAGTGATTTACTACTTTTGAAAATTAAACAAAGAACTTTCAATCTGAAAATTTGTCTATAAGTAGCTTTCATCGTCCTAAGAATATTTGAAAAGTGTCAATCCAAATGATCGCTTCGTTCTTAAGTGATAATCAATGTTACAAAATCGTTTAAATCCGAAAAATGTTGAAAAGAAACTAGACGTTTTTAAACATTAAATATTTCAAGTAAGAAGCCATCATTTTAACTAAAACTTTAAAAATATTCTCAGGATCATGAGGTCGAGTTATACAGAAAATATTAAGTAAAAAATCTTCTGCTTAATTTTCTTGCCAACATCCCATCTGATGGTAAAAATCGAGCAAAATTCTGATAATTCTTGTAGAGAAGATCTACTGGTTCATATCCTTATGTAGTTATTTTAAGCTCGATATCCTCACTAGATACTCAACATATGAGCTCAAAAATGATGAAACATTGGGGTCGATTTCCTATTCAGTAGAGTTCGTCGGTTTGGCCTTATTCCCGGATTCGGCCGAGTCCGAACCTGAAAAGCTTGAACCCAATGGACTCCACTAGTCAGCCATTTACTATGATTTGAATATGAATGAATTCCTAGATGAATGTAACATTTTCATTTTTTTTGTCACTGTTGATCATGCCATGTTGGTGTCATTCAATGACCCTGTAAACAAACTTCTAGCATTCATATTTCCTTCATCTCAGTATAATTCCATATTTTCCACACAATCATATATTGTTGTTGATTATAGTAGCGTCACTAATGAATGTAAAACAGCTATTTGTCATTCACTGAAATGTTTATTTTCTTTAAAGCAGTATATTCTTCGTGTTTTATCTATGCATCTTGATCAACTATTTTCATTTAGCGAATGACCCACATCATGTACATTTAATTGAATTTGATCATTTTGATTGAGAATCTTTAAGAAAGCATCCATGACGGCATACAAGTATACGAGACACTCGATAAAATTTTTTTTCGATTTTTTTTTGCTTATTCAACACATCAATGTCTTAAACTACCAACTCTAAAATTTTAGGTTCTAATATCTTTCCTATGAAAAGTTATCCAATACCGACTTTTAGCACTATCATACCTTTTTGAGAAAAAACAAGAAAAAATATCGTATAACAGATGTATCAATTTGTGTTTTAACAGATCATTGCAATTTTTCATGGTATATATTATAAGATAGAGAATTAAAAGTTGAACAAAATAAACTATATTGATATAGCATAATGTGTAGCGATTGAAATTTTATAAGGCCAACATAAGTCAAGGAGGGTCCTTTTTGATCAGTCTAAATACAACAATTTACCTCATGCTGTATTTCAGAGTTAGGAATTCTCAGAGTGAATTTTATATATGTTGTATAATTTTTTATTCTCTACAAAGTGGTTAAAAAAAATGTTCAAGAAAAAACTTTAGAATTGATGCAAAAAAATCGCTTACACCTCGTCATTTTTGATGATTTTTCAAAAAGAAATGATTATTTTTCGTGGCTTCCATTGCCACGAGACATCGCTAAAGCAAAATAGATACGATATTCAGAATCAGTGTCAGAAACTGCATTCAATCATATAAATTTTATCGGAAATGTTTTCTTGGTCGAAACTGATCCGTAGAGAAACCAAGATGAAAAATTTCTCTTAAATATAACTGTAGGGGACCACAGATCAGTTTTGGTCAGGAAAAGATTTTTGCTAAAACATATATGATTTGATGCAGGCTTTGATGATGATTCTGAATATCATATCTATTTTGCTTTAGCATTATGTCATGACAATGAAAATTGCTAAAAATCTTCATTTCCCATTGAAAACCTATCAAAAACTATAAAAAATTAGGAGATGTAAGCTCTTTTTCGCATCGAAAAGGAACTTTTCTTTGAATATTTTTTACGATTCTGCAGAGAAAAAAAAGTTGCAGAACATACATAAAATTCAGTCTGGAATCTCCTAATCCTGCAACATAGCAGGAGGTATGCTATTTTATGTAGAGTGATCAAAATGACCCCCATTGACTCATGTTGGCTTTATAAAACTTAAGTTGTTAGATATTATATTATATGAATGTGGCTTATTTTATTCAGCGTTTAATTCTTCATCTTCCTATGTATGCCATGGAAAACCTCAATGATCTGCTGAAACGCAAGCTGGTACATCTTTTATAGGATATTTTTTCTTGCTTTTCCCCAAAAATGTATGATAGTGCTTAAAGTTAGTATTGGCTAGCTTTTCATAGGAAGGGTATTAGGAGCTAAAATTTTACAGTTGGTAGTTTAAGACATGAATGTGTTGAATGAGCAAAAAAACATCGAAAAAAAATTTTTATCGAGTGGTTCGTATATTGAAGTGATACTCGATCAGCTCATGAAAGCTCTGTTAAATGTATTTGGCATCGATCGATATATTTTGCTGATATTGAATTAAATCATTTAAAATATGATCTTTTACTTATTGAAGGTTGTTCAATTATTAATATACTAACATCATTAAATAATAATCAATTATTTGATTCAATGTATCAATTTGATTTATCATATGAAGAATCTCTTCGAAGAGGATGGTTCACCTTTTCTAAAAGATTATTTTGAAGAACATGTCTAGCAGATATATATTAAAACTAAGAAAGAAGCATTCGAACAGATTGAGCAAAGTATTTTGAAAAATATTAAAACAAAATTATCGTAAAAAAATGAAGTAGAAAAAATGGTTCCATAAGATATTTTATAGGATTCTTTTTTTCAAAAAACAATGTTTTTGATAGAAAAAAATATTTTCTATGAATCTTAACTTGAATATGAACAGGATTGATGCGTTATTTTCTTTAAAACTAATTGTAATTGCTTGTAAAATGTATTATTATTTTGATTTAAGATTTGTCTTTTGATTAAATTGAATGACTCAAAGAAACGTAAATAAATAAATCAATAAAAATCATTTTTACCTTTACTTATGAGAAAGGTTATATTATTACTGCTGTATTCATACGTCTTGTCTTGCGATTGTGCAATTATGAGAGTATGACTCAATGTGTAAAAAAAAATATTGAATCAAAAATATTAAAAAAAAAAACCTTGAAAAATGATGCTCCAACCTACATCTGGACGACGAGGATTTGATTATGTCAAAGTTCCCAACAATGAAAAAAGTAAGTGAAAATGAAAATGATTAAACTAATTCTAATTTATGTAAATATTTTAGCAATGTCATGCGGTCAAGAAGTTTGCCACAAAAATACGACCAACACATCAAAAGAAATAAACGAAGAACAACAACTAAAAATCGTTCAAAAAACTACAGATGCAATTAATAAATAAACAGATTAACTGTTATAATTAAATTAAAATAAAACTGGATCATTTATTTCATCCAAGAAATCTATGTTATATTTATTCTAATCATATATTTCAAATATATTCTAATACTATTCGAATAAAAATATTAGCATCGTGGATTCGATCTTGTTATTAACAGAGTACGTGAAACGAAGATTTTTGTTATAATGATGAAAATTTGACTATCAGAATGAGTAGAACAAACACGCTGATTTATAATATACTATATATCATTTCTTTTTCTTCTTACACTGTTCAAGAAAGATCATTAATTGAATAAAACAAGAGTTACACATGAAGATAAATGTGTTGGATTTTTTTTAATTTTCTTCTATCATTTTTTGACATGTATTAATGCTAATATGTCGTAGACTAAATATTTTTACTTTTGTTTATTTCATTATTATGACAACATGAACAATAGAGAAGTAAAATCATATTTTTCTTATATTTTAACGCATCTCATCTATTTATTGCTTTGTCTTTCATTCAATATAACGACGACCACAACCTATTTCACGCATACTACATAACAGGTAATCGAAAAGTTTTAAGATAAGATGTCTTTTCAACTATGGGCTTAGAAATTTTGTGTCAGTTTTTGTTCAGAAATAGTGAAATAATCTTTGATAAGCTCATAAACTTAGTTTGAACGAAAAATTTTACTGCACACTTTTGTATTTTCTCTATTGCAATTCAAAACTAAAAGTTGGTGTCTTTATTTATATATGTCAGTTTGTGGATCAGAAGTTACCCTATAAAATGCACTATTTGAAATCTTTTTTGATTTTTCGAGAACGCACTTCAGCTTTCGTTTCTCTGTAAAGTAACTGACTTCGATATGTTTTAGTATCTTGGACAATGAATTTATAGGATAAATAAAAATCTGTTGATTTACCATTACAAATAGTTTTTTTTTAAGTCTTTGAAAAAGTCTCTCACTACTCTTGAATAAAAACTGAGGAAAAATTTCTAAGCTTATATTAGAAAAGAGCACAAAAGTTTGATCCTAACTCATAGCTTTTAACTCGTCAAAAAATACTTTCTAGTGGATCAAAAGTAAAGAAAAATCTCTTCTGAAAAATTTTCGATCACCTGACAAATCATCTGACCGTGATAATTGTGGTATTGTGAAACTATAATTCAACAGCAAACTCGTGAAGCTGTGAAGACTGTGACTGCAACCAATCATAGAAATGAAAACAATATTACCCAGGGGACTTTAAAAAATTTCAAAAACTGCATTAAAATGACGAAACAGACATAAAAATTGAAATACATCAATTTTTATACCCGTTTCACCATTCGAAGTGGCACTTTTTTTCATATAAAATTCATGAAATTTTTATCATTTTTTTTATTTCGACGGATAAAAAATTCTAGAAAAAATTATTGTGTACTTTATGTCATAACAATGTGTTTTGCTGTCAATCTAATTACAAATAAAACGCAAACATGATATCATCAAGAAAATCCGTTTATTCGATTGATCAATGTTAAATATTATTATCAGTGTCTTTTCTTCGTTAGTTTATTTTTCTGAATTCATAGTCAAATATTTCTTTAGATTCTATGAGAGAATCAAGGAGTAATAAAAATGAATATCACAGCAAACAAAAAAGAAAACTAAAAGAAAACACAAGGAATGCAGTCATTTTCTCTTTCATGTTTTACGTTTGATATGAATGCAGAGTATACGAAACAAATAATCATGTTAATCGATTTCATTTAATTTTGTATAACTTTTTATACAAAATTCGAAGAAGAGCATTTCAATTAACTATAAACTAGTGATAATGAATTCTCGTAAGCCAGAACATAAAAAAAGATATTACTAAGATCATTATATCAATGTTGACCAAATGTTTTGATTAGGTCCTTTGTAAAAAGTTTAATTTGAAAGTGATTGCATTGTTTCTATTAAAAATTATAATTTTCACATGGATTATATACACATGACGAACTTTTGAATTCTAGTGATATTCATCGTTATATATCTTGATGACATCTTTATTCAAGATGTATGATATAGTTTAGCGAACTTTTCAAGCATGTAACAGTATTCTGTATTCTTTTGAATTTCTATAGTATATAATCATTCTAATACTGGTTAGTAATTATTTTTGGCTATTATTCAAATGGTCAGTAGAATAAATAAAATAATCAATATATTAAAATAATTAGATTTGTTGATATTTATTTAAAGATCAGTAAATTAAATAAAATAATAAGTATAACAATCGAAATGTTTTATAATATGATTTAAATAGATGATAGATATATTTCAAAAGAAATAATAGAAGATATTAAAATGCTTCAATTATCTAATTCTACAACTGTATTCAAATTAGTATCAACATTATTATGAACAACAAGCAAAAAAAAACACCAATCAATGTTAAATTTTTTTGAATTATTTTAATAATGAATGGTTCTAATCAAATGATGGTTGGTATGAAGATGTACAACTGTATGCACTAAGAACAAACAACGCTTTAGAAACAACCAATAAAGCAAGCAAAGACAATGGAACATTTACAAAACGTCATGTTTTATTAAGATTCTTGATAATAACTTCAAATATTATCAATAATGGGTTAATTGAATCAGATTCTTCCTCAATTAACGCAAAAATATTTGTTACAAAACCAACAATATCTTAACTATTATGGACTTTATCATATCAATGGACTAGATCAACATAAGATATATTTCTAGAAAATTCAAATGAGATGACTATGAGAAAAATTTCATGAATATTTAATTCAGTACTTTGAGAAATAAGCGTAGAAAATTCAATTTTAATATAAATAGTATATAGAAAAGAAGTGTATATTTTTGACGTTGAGGTGAGTCCGAAAATTCATCCTTTTATTGTTAACTATTCTCAAATGTTTCATTGAGTAACTTGAATATTAACATCAATAGTTGGTGCTCCAAGATAGTTGTTTTAATTCTTCTTTGACTTCTAAAATATATTTGAAATAAAATGCTAGCTAGCTCAAAATTATGTAAACAAAAACAAGAAAATGATAAAATTGATATACAGGTTTTGGCGAGGGTATTGGGGTAGGTATGACTCATGACTTCGCTTACACACTTTACTTTCACACTCTGAACTCATCTCATACTCTTCTTAACTCAATCAACTTCCAAAGATATACACTTTATTTCTATATACTTTTTATATCAAAATGAATTTTCTGGCCCAACTCAACGCCCGACTACGAATTGTATATTTTTAATTCAATGTTTAAAAACTTAATTTCAATAATACATCATAGACATTTAATTAGAAGACTTACAGTAGAGTTGTTTAGTTTGTATCATTTATTGAATAATAAGGTACAGAAATTTGAATTCTCCAAAAATAGATATTTACCGTACTCTATTGTTTGTTTTTTTTACACTTGAATAGACATTATCAATATGCATCATATATGCGAAGTTTGGACTCTTCATGAGTCACAAATTGGTGAACACGCCTATTAGTCAGGAAGAGAAAAAACCCATCGTAAAAGGTAGTAAATAAAGTATAATAAGAATATATAAATATATTAAAGTGATAACGCATTTTTTGAAAGCATTATATTTCGAATTAAATATTCTAGCTTACATTATCGACAAATACAGTTTGTTGAAACTAATCATCGTTCAATTTTATATTCAAAATCATCTATTTCACTGAATAGTAGTACTACAACAGATTCGTCTATAATTTTGTCTATGTGTCCTTTATCACTGGATGCAAATAATTATTCATTCATGCGTGACAATCAATCAATAATAGAAACAAATTCAACTAAACATTCACATATGAACACATCCTTATGCAAGAGATGTAAAAAGTCTAATTCAATAATTGAATTTGATAGATGTTTTCAATATCGTCAAGATCAATTAAGATCAAATTCTTCGGAAATTATTTCAACTGATCAAAATTCTGATAATCAAAAGGCTGCATCACAATCAGTTCCAATTGAAAAAACAATGAATAAAGTTAAACAACTACTTGAAAAAAATAATAAAACAGATATTACTGGTTCATCTCAAGATATAACTAAGAAAAAATTTAATCGTTCATTTAAGCATTTATTTAGAACTAATCGAGAATGTCAATCTTGTCCAGATTCACCTCGAAGTTGTTCATCTTTATCTTCACAAACATATTTATCTCAATTTGTTCTTCAACCAAAATCTTCTATTGAAGAAAACCCTACTGAAACAATAAAATATTCATCACCTGTTCTTGCTTCTGCTCCTGTTCCTGTTCCCGCATCTCTTCCTGTCTCTAAACCTGTTTCATGTTCCTTATATCTTTCCTCAGAACAGATCAGTTATTATAAAAAACGTCAAACAGAATTAGATCATACTGTTAGAGAACTTATCAAACATTTAACATGCAAAACAAATGAAAATATCAATCAAATATCAAAACATTGGTCATATATAAAAAATTTATGTTTGAATAAAATTCAACCAAAAACAAATCTTAAGCAAATATTTTGTTATCTATTAAAATCAATTTATCCAAATAAACAGTTTGAAGATTATCTCAAAGAAAATGATAATATTAAAGCTTTATTGGAAATTTTATCAAGAATACTAAATATTGTTCAACATATACAATCGTTGTCAACAATTAAGAACTTATTTGATTCTGTAGAAAAAACAATGATAGAATATATACATTCTGAATTTGAATTTTTGCTTGCATCTTATACTGATACACTTTCAATGATTAATGAACTTAGTCGTTTTTATCAAACTAGGTTAAACGAAATAAATAATTTACATTGGTTAGAAATTATTAAACATGATTATCCATCTTTAATTGAACGAATTTCCAATGATCTCATTGTAAAAGTTCCTCAAGTAGACCAGATACTTGTAACAATGCTTAGAAATATGAAAAAACGTTTACTGTGTAATAATAGTGAATTTATTAATAAAAGTCGTATATAATAATTTATTTACTTTTCGATGAAGATCAGGTTCAAGTTGTTCTTTTAAATCAACTGTTCGCTTAACTGTCTAGAAAACAAAAATAATAAGTAGTGCATAATAAATGGAAAACAATGTTTTCCTCTTTTTAGAAAGCTTTCCAACAGATAAAAGACTTCATTTTAGTCTCATTCGATAGAGAATTTCCTACTTTACAAAGCTGCCGCTTTTTTTTTTACATAATGTTTTTTTTTGTCGACACAAAATTTAAAAGATGAAAATATACTCAATCATTTGACTGCAATGGTGAAAAAATGAAAAATATTTCATAAAGATTTTGCTGAAATTTTAAAGATGTTATGAAGTTCTTCATGAAATTCTGTATTTTTTGACATATGTTTCAAGATTGTAGAGGAAATAAATGTATGAAAAATTTTTGAAATAAAAAATGTGAAAAATAACTGGAAAATCCTTTTTCTAGTCAGAATGGCATCATTGTTCTGTTTTGATTTGATATAATCTAATATTTTTATTCTTCAATTTCAAAATCATACTATTCTGTTCAGAATTGAATTCCACATAGGGTGACATGAGAATAAACATATCACAAACCAAGTCTCACTTTGGAAAACATAGTTTTCCAGAATGAATCTCAAAATACTACTAAGTGTTGATTCAATGTCTTTTTCTTCTGAACAATAGAAGCAGAAACTTTGAAAAGATTGTGCAAGCAGAGAGTACGAAACTCTCTATGCATTCATGGTAAATATACTTTACATTTAGCATCAGTTCTGATGAACAAACGTTTACAAAAATAGGAAATCGCAATTAAACAACTGAATAGATGTTCATCTTTTAAGTTTTGCGCCGGCAGAAAAAAACAACGTTACTTGAAAAACAAAAACGACGTCTTTGTAGAGTAGAAAATTCTCTATCGAAATAGCCTAAAATGAAGTCTCTCATACGTTGGAAAATATCCGAAAACGAGAAAAACAATTTGTCTCATTTATGTTTTGTTATCCATTAATTAATTATTATAGAATAGTGATCTTTTCATATTATTTACTTCAAGAGCTTTATTTAATTGACTATTAATACGTTGAATTTCAGATATTTTTTGTTCATTTCCTGCTTTTAATGTTTCCATTTCACCAATAGTGTAATCAATTATTTTAGTTAAAACCTAAACAAGTCATAATAAGAGAAAGAAATAAAATAGATAAAATAATTACTTCTTCATTTGGTCTTTCTTGAAGTTCAATACTACCAACAATCTTTAATGAATTTAATGCTTCAACTTTTTCTTTCCAAACAAACTGAAAAATAAATAGAAAACTAGCCAGTCAATTAACTGTACACTTGATTAATTATGAAACAACTTTGAAAAACTGTATCATTGTTCAATAGAAGTCGATACTGCTTTAGATTAAGTCTTATAAACTAGTAAACTAAATTAAAGTTGCAGTTCTATGCATGAAGAAAGTCCTCTAACTGATAAATTGCTTCTGAATCGATATTATATAGAGTCAAATGAGTTATGAATATTTTGAAACTGAAAAACTCGGCGATAACAGTCAATGCGGCTGGCAAAGGTGGTCTGAGCACGCTCATAATAATTAGGAAACGCGATTTCGATTGAAATATAACAACCTTCTAACAGTTTTAAAATATTCATCCACTGACATGCAAAAATATTAAACAAAAGAACCATGGTGAACTGATGATTTTCAAGCGGTTTGAACGACATGGGATGTGTTTATATCTAAACTGCTGCACACTTATTCTGCAAAACTTTCTTCTACAACAAAAACAATTGGTCTTAGGCTTCGAAATTTATGATTCTAACAAAAATCGAGTCGAATTAATAGACATGCATTTTTTGACGAACTTTCGTATTTGATCTTGCACGATCGTGTAAGATTCGTATTATGAGATCTGATATGTTTCATTGATGACAGAACTTATTTCACCTTAAAAGATCAAGTTAGTGTTGTATAGATGTTTCGTATCTTGAAATTCTTGTAAGATTTTCGCTTGAATCGCATATGAAGAATCATTCAAAGTCTTGCAATGATACTGAGAATACAATCATGATTAAGCTTTTTGTAAGTTCTTATGAAAGATTCTGTATACGTGAGATCTTGCACGATCTGACATTCGATTTCTATATCTTTTCAGCGTTCACCATATAAACTAAATCAAATGAATATTCATTTTATATTTTTATGATATTCGAAATGTTTCTATTATCTGACAATAGATTTCTCGAATTTATATTGGCACATTGATTGTGATGTAGTATCAATCATACTATACAATGCGAATGTCAATCAATACATCAAATGAACTATGTAATTTCTTATGTGCTGAACTGTGATCCTACACTAAGTTACATTTACAATCACAAGTACTTTCGTAGTCAATATATTCAGAATAACAATGTCTGCAACGACAGAAGATGCCATGCAATAATCCATAAGTATCATCCAGTTTTAGTGAAGGTTTGAGCCGTGAGCTGACACTGTAGACAAAAGGTCTAGTTTTAAAGATAATACATAGTTTGTGAATCTATTCTCCTTTTTCTTTTTTTTACAATTTCGATAATATTATATTCATGCACTGTTTATTTTGTCGGTGTTTGATCTTTAGGATTAAAATCAATATATTCTATTTAATGATCAAGATCAATATTAGATACTTGTTTTTAATTTATAAATTTTATACGAAAACAAAAAAAATTTCCTATACAATAAAACAGTCACTTATGTTTATTAATTTCTGAAAAACAAAAACTCAAATAGACTGAACATTGTTTTTTCAATTAATTATTTTCGTAAACATCTTAATCATGTTACACCATGATCAAGTGAAACATGAAGAAAATAATATTGAAATTACAATAAATATCATAGCCATAATTTAAAACAGTTTTCATGATATTGAACTGCAAATGAGTCATCTTCTGTTAAATAAGAATGATCAACTATCCATTTTCGCATATTTGTTCTTGCTTCTTCGGAAAGTAAACCTTCGACAAATAGCGAAAGCTTTGATTTACCTTTCCAGAAAGGAATAATTGCTAATATGAATGCATCAATGTTTAATTGTCGATTTGCCATAGTTATGTCAATATGAAAGAGGAAACTAAATGTATGAGTAATAACTTGCATTAAATCAGACGTTGTATCTGTCCAATCTGCGATTACAAGACGTCTAATTCTAGTTTTTAACGTACAAAATGTACAATCGTTGTCGAGAAAAATTTTTAGACAGGCAAAGTCAACACTCAATTTGTCAAGATTTGGGGATATATGTAGCAGATATGACAGTTCACATATTCCATGAATATAAAGTTCCTTGAGTGAAGGTAGTCTTAACATCATTGATTGAATTGATGGTGGCAGTGCAACTATTGAAAGAAATAGTTAAGTAATTATTTTATTTTATTTTTCATTTTTAATAAACTAAATATCGAGAAATAATATAAAGGAAAGTAGAGAGATACAGAATGAAATAATTTTTTTTTGTTTATAATGAATTAAATGCTTCTTTCCAAATTGGATTATATTATTAATCGAAACACTTATTGAAATGACGTTTTGTGAAAGATTCCTGATCATGAAGATCATCATTCGGTTTATAACTCGAATAGGTCAATCATATTTTTTATATGAAAAAAAAAACCTATAAAAGAAATAATACATACGTATTTCTGGCCCATCAGACATTTGGATGACGAGAGTTCGAATTCGACGAAAATGCTGTAATATTAGAAGTATTTCAAGCAAAGATGTTGCATCATATATGTATAAATCTTCGACTTGTTGTGTATATTTCGATTGAGATGACATTTGTTTTCCCATTGTTGCACGTAAATTCATAGAACGTAGATGACAAGGAATAGTATGCATTATAACACGATTTTCTATTTCATCCAACAAACAAACAGTTGAAAGATGACATGATTGCGAAGTAAAGAAATGTTTTACATCGTCGCTCAAATGTAAGAATTTATAGCGAATAAAATAATCGATTTGAATAGACGATGGAGGCACAGCCATGAACAAATTCTCTTCTGTAAGAAAACGTTTGTCATTCGTACAGAAGTCAAGCTCAAGTTTTTGTAAAGAAGGCATTTTCTGTAATATATGAGTGATTCCATCAAATGTCCAACAGTACTTGGTTGAGCATAAGCGAAAATCAATAAGGTGCACAAGTGGCACTAAGTTAGTAAATATTTTTTCGTTGATTGACCCATCTGACCATTCTTCGATATTTATGTACAAACGGCGAACATTTGGTACAAGCTTAAGAAGACATGACAATGCTTGAACTAGAGTTATATTTACTGTAAGTTCTTCAATGTTTAGATAGGTTATCGCTGTAGTATCTTCGGATACATCTAAGTGAACGGAGTCCTGATCAAAAGTTAATTTGGACAATCGACAATTATTTGCCGAAAACAATGTCGACAATAGAATATCACTCTCACATCCGTGAAGACATCGAAAATTCAAATGCTTCAAGTGCGAAAAATTTCCTAGAGTAGTGATGAACGACAGCAAATTTTCAGTGCGAAATGCTTGAAATGTGAGTGTTTTTAGTTGAGGACATAGGACTGACAAACGCGAAGTAAAAAGATCAGCGGATAACTGCGCAGAGATTAATGTTTTCCAATTTGCATTTAATAGGAAGGATCGAACATGATAACCAATGGAAAATAAAACATGAGTGGCAACATAATTAAATACCTTGTATGGAACGGTCATTAAGTTTACATAACGACAATAACCTGTTATTGTAATATTCAAACGAGTATTGAGATTGTAAAATGAATAGAGAACATCAGCTCCACGTAGATATTGACATGCAATTAATATAATTTCGTCAGGTAAGGTTTCAAAAGTAGTAGATGGGGCCATCTGAAACAAATATTTATTAGAAGCATACATAGACATTAAAAGAAATTATAAGAAGAAAATAATTTTTCTTTTCTTGTTTATTTGTTTAACATGTATTATGATTATTTTATTTTTTTTACAAAACCTTATATTGACAAAAGAAAGAAAAAAAAATATGTATGAAATCAATGTATTGGAATATTTTGAAACCTATAAAAAATATCTTCATAGTTGTCGCACTGAAATTATTATCAAATTATTAATATAATAATTGAAAATTACAATTCATTGCGTAAATTCTAATAGATTTTATGTTTGAAATTCTCTCAAAATGTACTTTGTTCATTGATAGAGAAAGTGTCAATAACGCTTTTCTCTTTGGCAATATCTCCTATAGAATAAGTAAATATCAATGTGAACTCTTGCTGCTTTCCTAGTGAATGTACAGGGTGTTACAAAATCTTTACACCTCCCTCTACAACTTAAAGTG